GCCTCTCTCCAAGGGCCCTCTTAGCATTTTGGATCCCTCTTCTTTCCTTCAGAGGGAGGGAGGACTCGTGATCACTCAGAGATATGACTCGCCGCCAACGATACACACAATCACGCAGCAGTCTGACACGAGAAGAAGGACTCACCAGTATAGGGATGGTATGAAAGTGATGTATAGATATGGTGAGAAGGAAAGGAAGCAAATAAGGAGACGATAGGTTGAAATGGTGCGAGGAGGAGGAGGAGGAGGGGGGAAGAGCTAAGGGGGGGTGCAAGGGGGAGACGGGGTGGGTGGGACTCGCGCTATGACCCACTCTCACACCCTCAAAACCCCAACGTGGCGCTTTGCGCGATAGCGTTTCGGCGTTATCTACCTCCTCTCGTGTGGCACATTGACGTCACCCTCGGCACATGGCGAGCCTATCCTCCTAGCGCATTCCATGGTTAGGCTTACGTGACACCTCGGACCCAAAGACCGGCTCGCATATTTCTCACCTACGTACTCGCACTCCTCTCCCTCTCTCTCTCCTCTCTCTTCCTAACGTCTATCTTTATACCCCAGTCTCCCAGTGGCCAGTGGTTCACTCTCCTTTCCCTGCGGAGTGACATTCGTTACTGCGCACCTGCTTCTTGTCTTTTTCGTCTATCTGTTCCTCTCTCCTTTGTCTCAACTCCGCTGGCTTGACCATTTCTGCCTTGCGGGTGGCAGCCGTTTGACCTCGGTCACACCATTCTCTTCCCATCCTGTGCACTGTGTCACGGGTCATCTCACACCTTGCCCACCATCGCACATGCTGTCATCCAATATGGTCCCTCAGGTATGTTCATTCCTTGCTCGCAACCGTTGCCCAGCCGCCATGAAGGGATTCTGACTGATCTTACAGGAAGAGCTTCCCATCCTTGAGGCGTTGATTGGCATACGTAATCGCCTGACCGCCTTGAAGAAGGTGAGCACCACGCATCTATGACACTCAACGCTCACTGAACTCTAGGATACAACACGCTTCATACGGGCACAAGATGTCATGTCCATATACAGCTCGGTAGTCAAACAAGGTATGTCCGACAATCCAGAGAGCACTATCAACTGACCCAGCAGTCACCAGACTCAATACAATACGAGATGAGCAGGCAGCCAAAGAAGCTTCTGTCAGTGGTACAGCGGTCGCTTCCTCATCAAAAGGTGCACATTCGGGTCTTCCAGAACCTAACCGAGTGGACACCATACTGGGGGACGTCTTCGGCTTGCTCAGTCTCTTCTTTTTGACCATCGGTAAGAGCCGAGAAACACCAGCAATATACTGCCAGATTGCTAGTATGCGAGTGGGTCCCATCTCATCGCTCTCGGTGGGCAGCTGACGTCGCAGGGAATACTGTCACATATGAACGAGACCGGAGCGTACACCGAGCAATTCCTGGTGCCCTTCCGCGAGCGACTCAGTCAATTGAAGCAGATCCTAAAGCAAGACTCGGAGGATGGAAAACATCCAGAACCCATCGTTCGGCTGATGATGCGGAAATTGGAAGGTGTTGGTGGGCACTGTCAAAGATTTTTCTCCTTCAGCAGCTGACCCCCGCAGAACGGCAACTGGATCACCTTATGGCTTCTTTATCTGTCCTCTCCGTCGAGCTCGTGACTATTCACCAACGGCTAGTACATCTGCGCAAACAGCTTGCTATAATGGCGGGCCAGGAGAAGCTGAATAAGCAAGAGTTCAAGGCTGCTGTGGAAGAGTTGAGAAAGATCGACTCGTAAGTGTGCATTCGGCTTATCGTGTAGGAACTTACGATCAGCAAACGGGTGGACGGGAAGTTTTTAGGTCCGGGAGGATCATCTGTTCCTGAAGGACAAGCATTGCTCTCTGGTCTGCTGGACACCAACTTTGACGTCGTACAGGATATCAAGGCCAGAGAGGCGGCGGATGATATCAATCCAAGCTTGAAGCCTATATGGGAGAGATTGACGGAAATGAAGGGACAGCTGGAACAGCTAAGTGAGTGCATCTTTTGGCTGATTGGGCGACGCTTACAGACAGTGCTCACCCATCGTTGGACGCTGAGAGAGACGGATCTATACAAGTAGGGAAGGATGATTTGCTTCGAGGTTGATGCTGACGTTCAGTTACTCCTTATCGCTACGGGAGATTGACTCAATGAGAGTAGACGGCAAATTCGTGGATGCTGAGGGAAACAAAGCTGAAGGGCAATATGTGCGTTAGGTTGCGCGTTGGACACTTCGCCCACTGACTCACAGGCATTGCTTTTCTTACTGCGACGATGTTATGGTCTCATCTATCGGCTCATGTCAGAGTCAGAGCCAATTTCAGAGGAGTTGATGCCGGTCGTAAGTCTCCTGACCGCTCGTGAGGGCATGGGCTTCACGCAGATTGACATTCAGGCCAATAAACTATCCACAATCAAAAAATGTCTTAACGAGGTACTCAAGTATGGTGGGCCATACTCCCCTCGCGACTTGTATCCATACCATCTCGCCTTGCATCAGATCGATCAACTTCGAAAAGACGGAAAATTCTACGCGGACGATGGGAGCATCCCGGAAGGGCAAGCAATCCTTGTGGCGCAGTTGAGTGAAGCGCACGAGCTATTGGAAATGCTCAAGGAGAGTATGAGTGATGAGGAGAACGAATCGGATGATATGGATGTGGTGGATGTGAAAGATGCGGATCCGACTGCTGTGGCTGCTGCGTAGGTGATGGGTTGTTTTTGATTCATTGTTTGTCACAAGGGGTTCGACATCATATGTTTTCCGGGATACTAAGGGGATTTGGGGAGTTGCAAATGACACTATGCACCATGCACCAATCATTGAAATCATTCCACAGTTGTTCAACTAATCAGTCCAATTCCTCCACTCTACCCGTTATGTAATTAGATCCATTGTCGAATTGCTCATCCATTCTCTGATGTGTATATTGCACCATCTCATTATACGTCTGATATTCTTCCGGCGTCTTTGTGGCCTGCTTTCGGCTGTACCTGACCAAAACTTGACCTGGTCGTCAGGGTCTCCATCGAAATCAAGTAATATACTCACTGTTCTCCCCAACGACAGTATTTGACTGATCCGTTGGATAATCAGTCATGATAACATCCGTGAGCGCTTCGAATGCCTTGTCGATATTTTTCGAATAACTACCACTGTCCTGTCGTTTTTTCCTATGATGAACAATGGCAGTAGACGAAGTCGGACTGGTAGGTTCGAACCTCTTACTATTTTTACGTCCATGTCTTCCTGTATTGGTCCTGTTAGCTAAAGTGGTATTAGTTGTCAAAGCACCTTTACCAGATTGACCCCGTTTGGTTTTTTTTCTAGGATCAACTTCCAGTTCAGTGATTCGATTTGTGAGTTTATCAATGTCAACTTGATCATTAAATCCTCCACTTTGAGGAAAAGTAGAAGGAGGTTGAAACCATTGGGACTGTTGAGATTGAGTATTGAATACGTATTGGGATTCATCATCATCTGTCGGATCAACGAAAGGGAAACTAGGTTCATCAGGTTGTTCGAGATTTTCATCGGATGAATATCCAGTATGATCATCAACCATCATTTCGTTTGCGTCCCAAGTATGGATGCATGAATCGAATGGAAGAGTTTGATTAGAAGTGAAGGTAGACATTATTGATTAGTGAAGAAATCTTCTTTGAGAGTTACTCTTCTACTTTGATCAGATTGATTGATTGATTGATTGATTGCTTGTTTGCTTGTTTGCTTAGTTGCTTGTTTGTTAGATGATGGGATAGATGGAATAACAAATGCCAATGTGAGATATGTAGGTATGAGTCATTCAATCTTTCCTATGAGGTAGGAGACTCAAATCGGAGTAGTAATAACGATGGTGATAACGTGGGGTTTTGAAAGGCGCAGGAGGTCCACACGTGTCACAAATTTGATAGAAAGGAGAGGAACCGGAGATGACTAGTATGTGACATGTAAGCGATAAAACGTCTCAGGATAACAAATATGAAACATTTTCCGAAATGACTATTTGTTCTTCATTGTCACACGGGGGAAAAAGGAGGTGAGTTCTTTTCATTGTAGTGAGTATGAAGAGATATCACGTCATCATCTCTTATCTCAGACCTGTAAGATTGACCACACGATATTCAACGGATTGGTGATTATGAGGAGTAACATACAGGCTTTCTCACATATTCCAAGTAATGTAACAATGAAGGAAAGAAACGTAGATGATCTCCATATACATCTCTACCACAGTATCAGACTATCTTTCCCCTATGACAGACTAGTCGGCCAAACCGCATTGGAGGATGAATGATAAGTACTATCATAGATTCAGTAATCGTCATCAGTTTGCAACCCTAGCAAACGAGCCCTCTGTCTTTCGAGTTGTTGAGGTTCATCGAAACCGGGACCTGATTCAATATCATCATCTTTCACATCAGCTATTCTCCATCAAGATGGGAGCATTTTGACTGACCTTCACCGACTTCGGATTGGTTCGTCCCACTTTGCCCGAAAGGTCCGAAAGTTCCGAAAGTTCCAAATGTACCGATTTGTCCAGTTTGTTCAGGAGTGAACAATGGAACACTTGATCGAGCGCGATATTCGTCAAGACGATTCACATATTCTGGATCCACCCCGCGAGTTTGTTGCATATTTCGCAGACGAGTTGTCCTTTTTCTCGTTGCTCGAGCCTTGTCCTGGGTTTGAGACCTTACCCCAAAACGCGTTCTGGTTCTTGGACTGATTGGACTTGTCGGACCGCTTGAGTTCAAGGGATCATTAGATGATTCTACGAATCGCACACTTCTACTATTGGTTCGTCTTGTGCGTGTACGGGGAGCCGTCACCGCCCCTATATTAGCACTGTCAGAAGCAGAAGTCGGATTTACCACGGTGGAATTGAAATCCATAAGAGAAAGTCCACTTGTGAGACTATCCACTGGTTCTTGTTCTGGTTCTTCTCTTTGTTCTTGCTCTTCATGATCATTACCCCAATTGGAGAAATCGAATATCGGTAGTCCTGTCTCGTCGTATTTTTGTTGATAAATGTCGACAGAAGGCTGAGGGTGGAAGTCCTCTTCGATCTCAAAAGCAGGAGGTAGGGAAAAAGTGTCACTTTCCGACCCGTTAAGCGACATCACTTCTTCGACTTCAGGGTCGGATAATTCTTCCGAGGGTCCGAGCCAGGGAGTTGCAGGACGAGTGTGTTGACGGTCAGGATTTGACATTGTTTCTTCTCTTCCAGATGCTTGTAATAGTTGATGTGGTGATGGGAAAGACAATTGAGGAGGGTGATAAACGGGTGCCCCTTGATGTATATGAGTGAAGATAGGATCGGAGTCTCAAAAATTCACGGGGATCAGAGACAACGGATATGAATTTGGGCGTGCTTCATCGTATGGCACGAGATGATAGCTGTGATGAATGCGTTACTCGAGGAGGATCAGCAAAGCTCGTCATTACAATTTTTTGAAAGGGACAACTCCGGAGTTTACAACGCACCCGTTTTTTACTGTTACATACTCGTGCAATCACCCTTCGCACGATCTCCAATATGTCATTTCCGAATTTGCGATGAGGTGCTAGAGATCGTCAGATGTCGAATCAGAGGGGTTAAATGAAAGACGAGATTATGCAATGCAATGAAGAAATGATCTACTTGACCTTGTATCCCCATTCCCCTCCTTGATCACTTTCTGACACTTTGCACAAAGATATATCTCCAAACACATCACATCAACCCGGGAAAGAATCCCGAACTATATGCCATAGGCCGCACGGCTGGATGAGGGACAGCGTCGAATTGATGATAACCCAATTGTCCGTCTGCTTGCATACGGACGTACGCGCCCTTGTTTCCTGTCGTATCGCAATAATTTGGACAAGAGAATGTGGTTATACACAATCCGTCATGTTCCACCGCATAGCCATCTGCTCGGACTTCGTGTGATCGGATGATGGCCGTTACATGGTTCAATTCACACCATCGTCGTGTGACGTCTGGTCCAAAACCTACACCAACGCCCTGCAACTATCAGCCTTCGTCTTGTGGAAGTAGTGAAGATGGCTTACTCGTTTTGACGGTCCACGACCTTGTTGATCTTGAGGATCAGTCCAAAGCATCTCACACATGATCCCTTCTTGTCCTGGTTGACGACCAAATCGCTCCACTTTCGAGATTTCTTCCAGTGTGATACCGTCTTTGCTGAAAATACCACCATGAACGACAAAATACCGTTTGCGACCTTCGGGGGACAGGATTGCCGGTTGCGAACCTTCGGATTTTAGGTTGGAAGGGGGAAGACCAGCGGTGATCAGAGTTGCGATTGGCACTATTGTCAACTAACTGCTATTCATTCAATCGTCAACTCACGTGCTGTGAAAACGTCCGCAAACAGCTTATAAGTCATCTCCCCTAGCTTGGTCTTGACCTCCCCTTCGAACCCGTACACTTTATTCATGTCTGACAATCAGCACCGACCACGAGATGTGCAAATGATGATAGACTTACCGTTAGTCTCATGATTGCCTCGGTTGATGAATACTCTGTCTGGACGAAGCCATTTCCAAGCGAAGAATGTCAGAACGGTCTCTAATGACCATGATCTGTCTTTTAGCTCAGGTGTACGGTTATTGGAGAGAGCCACTTACCCTCGATCCACCATATCGCCATTGACCACGATCATATGTGTATCTGACGGAGGACCTATCATGGAGAACAAGTTGCAGACATCGAAAAATTGCTGTTGTGTAAGCTGACTGGTCGTGTGACAGATTACAATGACTAACCCCATGGGTGTCCCCAATCACATCACACACTACGCCTTCTGGCACTTCTACCTCTACCAACGTCTTATCCTTTTCCACAATCTCCTTAACACCCAAGATGATTTCCCAAGCCAATCTCCGCGGAACCTTTCCACCATCCTTGAATTTCTCCACCATCGAATTCACAAACTCTAGAGTCGGCTCGTATCTAGCCTTTGGATCAGATGAGACGGAAGGAAGGGGGAAATTTGTAGGATTTTCCAATGGACATGACCCCTCAGAGATGAGCGTCATACACCTGGTAGAAGCGCTTTCGGTCTCTCCTACCGAAATGGCCTGAATGTCAGCTTTCGAGCGATCCGTCAGCCACAAATCTAACCTTTTCGAATTCGATCCGCCTGATGAGTTTGACGGTTGCATTCAGCTGTTCCCGGATATCTTTGTTGCCTGGCTCTAGTGAAAGAGCCTTTTTGAAGTCCGGCACAGCCTGTGTAGGACGCATGATGGCGAGATAGGAAGTGCCTCGACGGTAGTAAGCCTTGACATACTTGGGATTCAGGGCCACCGCCTTGGCTATCTCTGTCAGCGATATGGATGTCACAGAGATGGTCGACTTACTAGCATCCGCTATAGCAGCACCGTGTTCCTCCAACTTGGCCTTGCACATCGCTCTGTTGTTCCAAAACGTCGGCTCATGCGGGTCAAGCGCTATGGCCTCTGTGTAGAGTTCTATACTTCGAACGAAATCTTTAGCTGGAACATGTCAGTTATGCTGTAGGTTGACAGTTGTGGATGACATGCCTGCAAATGCTTTGTTAGCTTGAGCTTTGAGCTCGAGAGCCTTTGCCCGTTCTTGATCGGTGACGATTTTTTTATCGTCCACTTCTTGTTCGAAAGCACCATCGGCGGTCACTGGTGGTCAGCAAGTGGGTCACGTGGAATACGATTGCACGACGAAATTCATGGAAGATCAAAGAAGCTCCACTCACGAGACAGGCCGGCTAAGGAGCTAGCGGAAAGGTCGAGATTCCAAGTGGTGGGAAGTGTAGTGGGCAAGAGGAGTGGGGAAGGAAAGGGGGTGAGATCGTCATCGAGACTGGACCGCGAGGAGGATGCGAGGGTGGACTCTGTGCCAGTTATGATGGATGACAAAGGAGAATCTGGATCTAACATTGTGGTGCTAGATTCAAGGCCTGAAGTACTGTGATTGGCCAGGGATGGGTGAGGTGGGAAGGAAGAGAAAGCAAAAAAGTAGGAAAGGAGACTGACTGCGATATCTGGTGATAGGACGGGAAAATGCATTCAAAATGTATCATGCAACTAAGTAACGCACAAGTTACTCAAGTACTCTACGTGCCCATTCATCGCACCTGTAAGTATCTGTATGGTGTTGCATTGGAGCCTCTTCCGGCTCCTGAGTGTGCTTCCAGGCATTCTACGTGTACATAATATCATAAATTGGTATCCATTGCAGATGCTTCAGGGCCAGGATCAAAGATACTAGGTGGCTGATTCACGGTCATGTTTCCAAGGCTCCCCGTTACGTTGGTCACGGCGATCACGGCCTTGGCGTGCGTATGGAGTATATCTTTCCTGCGCGACTTCCAGCGATTTCCAGAACATTGAACAGTTACATCGACAGTAAACGAGTCGGTTTCGCTTCTGCGAGACTTTGAGCGGTCATATGGCCCTGGACGCCAACGGGATCTATCAGAGCGAGCTCTTGAGGAGGAGGAGACTGTTGATCCTGATGGTGACTGCCAGGACCCCAGCGCATCGTTTCTCAGTGAGCTCATCCCTGGATCAGTATTTGAACGCTTGGGGGGGAGGGGAGGAGCTGCCTTAGCATTCGTGAGGGCCAATTTCAAACTGAAAGTGGCACTCGAGCTCAAACCGAGCTCGCTATTCTTCTCGTACAAGACGGGCGGTGAAATATTGGGTTGAGCGTCGGGAGCCGATACAGCTGTCGAATCAAGCGCCGATCGATCTCTGGCAGAGTGATGAGGATAGGGGGTAAACCAGCGGTATGGGAAGAGGGGGACGAAGGGGAGGCCTCATGCGACTTGGTGGAAGAATCCGAATCGGAATCTGACATCTTCGAACAAGATGGAAGCACGGTAAAGATATTCAACGAGGCGTAGGGTTTTTGTACTGTTCGAGCAGCAAGAGACGACGTGGGAAGATTTTTAGACTTACAAAGGAAAGACCTTGGGGGCCGAGAGCGTTCAAGTCCGTAACTCAGATATGTCTAGGTGGTGCATTCTCGACAAGCGGAGTGTTCTCGAACGTCCGGCCGAGAATCAAGAACAGAAACGTGAGAGATTCGACCGTGAGAGTCGTTCGCATGGATCGGGGATAAGGGGGGAATGCCCGTCGGACATGGTGCTTCTGGAAGATGCTTCGCAGCTTTTCGTGTAGACCGAGCGGGTCACGAAGGGAGGAAGAAGGGAGCGTGGTGTGTGGTTCGTATCGTGCAGAGCTAAAGAGGGCAGCAACGGGCGTGAGACGGGTGACCGTTGTCAATCTGTCGCTCAGCAGTATACATCGCGCAATGGGGTTCGAAACTTACCGAGTGCACTTCAGTGAAGGTAGGGAGCGAGTCGTTGAGTTTGGCGAGGCCCTTTAGCGGTAGGAGTTATCTGCGAGTGAGCAGAGGAGTGTCAGCGTATCAGCAGTGACTTTAGAAATTATGATGCTCGACGTAATATGATGCATTGTCTAATGACCCATCCGCACTATTTTTCGGCAACTGACTGCAATCGACTTGTGCGAATAGGCAGTCCGGTGTGGTTCTGTCAGCGATGAGCCTTTGATCGCCTTCACTGACTCACTTTTCCTCGAACGGCTGTCGACTATGTCTAAGGTTTCGGAGCCTCCGGCTTGGGATGCAGGCAGAGAAGCTCAAGTCTGAGAAAACGCATTTGTCGACGATAACAGATCAGGCCTGGGTCAAAATGCACTGAAGGCTGTGCTGAGTATGAGAATATCACACTGATTGATCATCTCGGCCGACGTCTGAGTGAAAAGCGGGCTGAAGGGAAGACCATGGAGTTAACTGCGAGGCGATGAGCGATGCGATGTAAAGTGTGTGATGAGCCAGATCTGTGAAGAGTGGAGGTGGAGTGAATCGAGAGCTTGAACCAGATGAAAGGGTCTTATGACGTTGTGAAGACATGATTTGAGAGTTGTGATGATACAAGAGAGAAAAGTGGACGGTTCGAACGTGGTTGCATGGCTGAATGGGGGTGAAGGGAATTGCCGCATCGGGTAAGTAAGAGCCAACGGCCAACGTCCTTCTCACCGGTCAAGCCATTGTCATCCATCCCTTGTACACCTATGATCAACTAGACATGCCCATACTCAAGAGCAAGAACAAAGGCAAAGCTCGTGTATCTTCTCTATCAGAATCATCAGAACCATCCGAAACCTCTCCTCTTCTCGGTCAACCCTCTCTCTCAACCCATGATCCCATCACTCATTCCTCCCATACATTCAGACTCATCCTTAACACACTCGCCGTTATCTTTCTCTCCCTCTTACTCTCATTCATCCTCTTCATCGTCTTACTCGGAGCTTCATTCCGTCCTTCCAAAAATGAACTCTCTTCCCTTCCTCATACCGCTTTCACCTATTCCTCCCCGGAAACCATCCAAGTGCTCAATATCACCGAATCTGGTGTTCTTGTGAACATCACAGTCCGATGTGGCATAGACGCCGATAAAGCCTTGGGGATCATTTCATCCTCCGATTTAGAATCAAAGATCGAAGCTAGGGAGAGAGGTGATAAAGGTGGTGGAGCTGATTGGTGGGAAGATTTAAGAAGATGGACGGCACATAGATTATTACAAGATATCAATATTATCAATATTAATTCTCCCTCTGACATACTTCTTCTTTCTAGACAACCTCATTCACCAGCTCTTTTCAGTATCTCTCTCCCTAGACCGATAGAAGTTCCATTGGTCATTGGAGTCAAGAAAGATACACCAATGAAAGAATGGACAAAGGAAGTGACTGTTTTAGCTATAGCTAGACCTATAGCTTCCACGGGGGAATTATGGGATTATGTTCAATCTTCTTGGGAAACAGGTGTGGCTAGAGTGACTATAGGTGTAGAAAAAGTTCAAGTGGGTTTACCTCAAGATGGAACATGGTGGGGTAAGTGGGTCAAGGGAGACAAGGAAGATTTAGTTTTAGAAGTTGATATTCCAAGTGAGTAACAAATTCCTTTTCGTACCCGTATTATCATTCTTACTTCAGTCCCTCGTCCTTACTTCCTCAAAAAGTAGTTCCCGTCATTCCCCTTGTTTTATCCCATATGCATAACATAGGTTACGCAATGTCTATTGATCCATGTTTGAATGATGTCGTAGGAGGTCAACATGCTAATTCCAGTTCCCCAAATACCCGGACTCCCATGGCCTGGGAAACCATTAAACCTCTCTTCCCTGGTCAATCTAAAAGAATACTCTTTAGATACTTCCCCTTCCGCTTTACAAATCCATGGAACAGCTTCCATACCCAACTTAGTCCCCTCTTTGAACGCTACAATCCCATTCAATCTCCCATTTTCAATCTCTCTTCCTCATCATAATTCTTCTTTAGAAACCATCATGGCCACTGTTATCACTTCCCCCATACATCTACCATCGAATACCAGTGACGAAATCACTTTACATATCTCAGGACTTATTTCTCCTTTCCTTGCTCCACTTCCTTCTCCAAATACCACTATTCCCTCTCCTCTATCACTATTCTTACAACGATACCTACACGGTCTCCCAAATCCTATCATCGTCCGAGGATTATCTTCATTACCCACCATAACATCTCATCCTTCTCCACCCGCTTGGCTCTTGAATTCCCTGCCTGCTCTCAGATTACCACTCTCATTCCCCGGACCTCAACCACCTCCGAAAGTCATACAAAGCGTTGCTATAGAAAACATGCGTTTATCCGAATCTGGAGGTAAGATGAGAGCTTCAGGTACGGTGATTGCTATCATCGAACTTCCACCAGGTATGGAAAAAGTTCTTTTGGAAGTACATCAAGTCAAACCTGATGTTCTTATCTTCGATGGACCAGCACCAGATGAATTATCATCTCCACTCATATCTGTGTCCTCCAAAAACAATCATGTCATCTTCACGGACGTTTCTTCTCCTCAAGATGATACAAGATGGATAAATCGGTTTGAAGAGAAAGAAGAAGATTATCCAGAAGGAGCATTCGGATATATACATCCTGATCAATATCTCGACGCCACTTCCGAACAATCCGATGGAAAGGTGACAGTTCGAGCTCCGTTGGATAACGTAGAATTAGTCATCCTCCCAGGGAGAGATAAACAATTGTCCGATTTCGTAGGGAAGGTAGTGTTCAAAGGCGGGGCGTTGGCGGGTATAAAAGGTGATGCCGCTGTACAAGTTAGGATGCATGGGGTAGTTGGGACAGTAAGTCTTGAGAAGTTACCTGTGAAAGGAGAGACGTGGGTTGGGAGACAAAAAGGACGAAGGAGAAAGACGGAAGTTTGAGATCATTTGGGCTTTAAACTCACTCTCTTGCTGTGCTTATCATCTGAACCGCATGGAAATATGAGAAGGCTGGCGATCCTGGTAGGAGATATTCGCGGAAGAATGAACAATTTAGTTAGTTTGGTCTTTAACAGAGTATGAACAGGGGCAGAAGAAGTCTGTACACATCACATATCTGATTCTTGATATACTTGTTGTAGGAGATTGAAATACATATGTACAGTACGATGCAAATACTCATATCTTTGTTCTTATTCGTTTCATCTCTTTCATCAGATAGTCGGCAGTATCATTACTGACGTTCAGTCGAGGATCCAGAGAAAGTAAACCTAGATCAGGATGTGATAGGGATATTGCCGCTAAGGCGAGATATGAATGATATGGATCTGGATAAGCTTCGGGATCTTTACCGAAACCACCCAAGGGAGATTGAGCAGATAGAAGGAATGAAAGATCAGAGAGGGAGTCTATCAACTGTGGATGACCTAAAATCTGAAAATCAGCATTGACGTTCTTCCCCCCCCAATCTCACACTCTTCTCTGATCAAATAACGAGGGGCAAACTCCTACAAGTTTGTGTGCACCAGGAGAAACAGCGTTCATCCCTTACTTGGTTAAAAATATCCCTTGGACGAGAGACGCTTATAAGAAATGAACATGATGAAATGTGAGAGGATCATGAGATGGATAAGGAAAACCAACCCACATGTATTGTAGCCCCTATCCAAAATGAATAACAAACGTCTTCCAATTTTCCTGGTCTACCTTGAAAACCTCCGATTTGACGTTGTAAAGCCCATCTCAATGTTGCTTCTTGTTCAACCATCTTCATTTCTTCATAAACTCCTTCACTCGTATCATTCCCCGTTTGTACCTCAAAATCCAGCTCATCATGAATTTGTTCTGCCGGGGACATATCGATGGATTCCGAATTTGACGAGAAAAGAGAAAGAGAAGCAATAGCACAATATGTCGTTCCTCCTTCTTATCAATCCTTTCATCTCACAAATACAGGGAAGAGGGCAAGCAGGACGGAAGTTGACATACCTTGAGATTCAATCACTCCTGGTTTCGAAGCATATCCACCTTCCCATGTCTGTTCGTCAGTCATGCGAAAATGTCGGGGGAGGGGAGAACTAACTCTACAGCGATGGATAAGACGTTGAGCGGAAGATATGTCAATGTTTACATTGATGAGATATTGTATGACAGAAGCACAATATGTCATCCGGAGGTCATTTTCAAAACGACTAGTCAATGGAGAGTCATCGTGGATCGGTGTGGGTGAGAATCTATATGTCAGCAATGAGTCTGACGCACTCGGGTCAAGCCCAACTTTGGAAAGAAATTTCAACCTGTTGCAACTTATTTCACTGATCGGATACAGAACGGATATGATCATGTAGCCCCAGATACCATGCTTTAAGACACCCGGTGATTGACAGATAGTTAGTGGGACGAATGATGAATGAAAAGAACTCACGATCCATCAGCGGCTTGACAAGACCTTAGAAACTTCCCTAGAGCGACGACATCTAACCTATCCAGTGGGGCACGCAAGATACCCAGACACATCAAAGCGGTATAAGTAGATGGTAGGTGACCCGGCTGGTTTTCATCCTACGACTCAGCGACGATGTTTTGAGTATATAAAGAGGCCGCACGGGAATGTCCATACAGGTCGACCCTCTGAATCCACCGGAGGCTATGATGAGCACATGTCATCAAGTATTATAATGTGAAAAGCTCTCACAAGATTGGAGTCTCCATATCCATTCAATCCAACCTTTACGTTGTTCTTCACTGAAAGTATGTAATTGACCGAGGAGGTCCAGAGCGGAAAGACAGAAAAAAGCGATAGTTATTCTGTGGGTCAGCCAGCCCAGTCACAGTCTGCTGATATCCAGCTGAGCTGCCGAGCCGTCAGTTGGATGGGTCGTCATTTGTGACATAGGAAGAGCATCCATTCAGGTGCATTTCGCTTTTGGTCTGTATTGTCGGATATGGCACAAACCACCACCATACAATTCTAAGTGACTCCACGGATACATGGAGGAAGACACACATACCTATTGCCATCTTGTCCCTCTGCTTGACTTGGTAACGCTTTCAAACACCTGGTAAAATAAGCGATATGAGCGTTCTTCTTGAAAGTTTTTTGTTTTGCAGGAACATGTTCTTGTTCCATCTCGTCTACCTCGGATTGCTCTGACATGATCATCTCTTTCTCTCAAAATTGGTCGACATTTCGAAGAGAATAAACTCCCAACTTGTCCATCTCAAAGTTGTTCGTCTTTCTTTAAGTATTACATTCAGGCACCGCTCTTTAACTTTATCCACGCGCCCTTTCCCTTGCTTGTTCTCCATTCCCTCTTTTCTACCTCTACCATAGAAAGAGAAGCATAAGCATCATACGCATTGAACATCTGACAAATACGGAACAATATGTCACCCAGTACCCCTTCTACAATCGGTACGATGACGTACGAGACTCCCGATACACCAACTTCGGCTTATTTTCCAGCTTCGTCAAGTGTCGGTTCACGTACACCTACTCGTATCCCTTCACCCGTTTCAGAAGTATCTCCTACGAAAGATAATCGTCTGACTTCTTTCAATCTTCAACATCAACATACTATGGAGGATGAAGAGAGGGATGAGGTTCATATAAGTCGATTCGAGTTGGGAGATAGGATTGAAGAACCTGAATCTGCTAGATCTGGAAGTGGGAGTGGGAGCGGAAGCGGAGATAGTTGGATATCAAGAGATTCAGGTTTAGAAATGTTGGATGATGAGGAAGAAGAAATTGTTTTTGATGATGATCAGGAGATGGAGGATGAAGAGGTGGATGTGGGAGAACCTTTAGTGTCAAGAGGTAGAGGAAGGAAGAGGAGGAGAAGAAGATGGGAGGGGGAAGATAAATCGGAGAAAGGGTTGTTTGAGGTGAGTTTGGTCTTGTGAAATCTACAAGGTATCATCATCATTATTATCCCGTCGATGTGGAAACCTTCATTTCAATTGAAGATACGAGATGGCCAGGGGGGGGGGGGATAGGAGATGCGGATAAGGACTAATATCCCAGCTGATACCTCCCCTCATGCTCGCTCATCCTCTGGCCTTGTTTCCTCTATTGGCTATACTTCCTTATAATTTCCTCCCTGCAGGAGTAGTTTTCTTCATTCCTATTCTTTGTGTATTGGTGGTACTTTCCTGTTGTGCTCACATTGTCATTGTCTATCTTTCATGGTGAGTTGTCCCTCCTTTCCCCCCTCCCTCCGCTTCCGTCACCCAAACCTCTCGTTTATTGGATCCGCCTGCTATCGTATGATCCCTCCTCCTGCCCCCTCTTCTCCTCCCCACAATCATGAACCGCATGTGATCTATGATTCCATAGACCGAGTATGGACTGACCACAGGTATCTTAAAGTCCACACATTCGAAGATGTCTTCGCAGTCACTGCGGGAAAGTATTCCCTGTACGGTCTCTGGGCCGGTAGAGTGTCCGTAATCATTGGTGTCATTGGCATGTTGGTAGGATGGTTAGGAAGTGAGCCCGTTTCTACCTGTGTGTAGGTATGGTCAGCTAATGAGAAAGCACTTCATCCTTTGTTATTACCCGTTGTTGAGACTTATATCGGACAAAACGCTTTTCTCTCTTCTAGGGCGTTATGGACTGTCCTACCGGCTTTAGCTGTAGGTCATCCCCCATCCCTCATTAATAGAGTATATATTCCCATATTCCCCCTTGTCACCCCCTCCCCCCAAACGTATATAGTCTCGTGTCTTTCCCTGCCCATATGCTTGTATCCTTCTTTTAGTATATGCTTTCACTCTCTCATTTCCGACACCATCGGACTGTCGTTTTCGGATATGCAAGAAGTATATGCGGGAAGGATATGACATTTAGCAAAACTAACTTATCAGCTTCTACCCTCCCTCCTACCTTCAAGAATGATGCGTTCCCTTCGTCGTGCACCAGTCATCCTAGCTTTACTCCTTCCCGTCGTGGCATTCTTGATCATTGGTCGAACTGTGGAAATCACCAAAATCCCATTTGACCAACCTCCCACAGACGGGTCAGATGCAGTGGAACGTATGACCCAAAGTGTCGGACTCGTAGCGAGGACATTTGGATTAAGAGGTGGTAGTAGTGCTGGAGCTGGTATCAGTAAGTTATTCCCCTTCCCCTATTGTTTATAAGTAATTGGTTTTTTAACTTTCAGCCACACTTACAGTTTTCCTCTCACCTCATATAAATACCCTCCCTATTCATTCCACTTTAACTAAATCCAAACGTTCTTCTTTCCCTCTCCCTTGTCTAATATCTTCTTCCCTTCTCCTTCTTTTAGCATTACCACTAGCATTAGTACCATATTACCTTCTACCAGATCTCCCTTCTCTCCCAACTGCAACACCCACAAGTGCCTCTGGCGTTTTCGCTCGTCTTCCATCCGACGACGCATGGCTCAACTTAGCTAGGATCCTCATGGCTACCCTGACGTTGGGTAGTAGTAACATGTGGATTTTACGTGGAAGAGATACAATCCTTAGATCACTCGGTGTGGAAAGAGGTGAAAGATTACGTGCTGGTAAATGGGTAGGAGTAACATTATGGTTTTTGACCGTTTTGATCACTTCTATAGGTGGATGGTTGGCTGCGAAAGTTGAATTATTAGGAGTAGGGATGATTTTGAGTGTTTGTTGGTTATTACCTAGTGTATTCTTTATCGTGACTTTTCACGTTAGATCTCCGTTGGCTATTGTTTTCCCATCAACTCAACAGGTTGGTCAACCTACAAATGCAGGAGTCAATGGGAATGGAGTTGAGAATGGGAATGATGGTCAGAGATCGCATTCGAGGACGGATAGTTTACAAGATCCTTCTGTTGATGCGTTGTTAGCTAGGAAAGAGAGACAATTGCAAAAACGTCGATTAGGGAGGAGATTATGGCAGGATTTGATAGTGTATGTGGGCATCTTACCTGTGGGATGTGTGACTTTAGGATGGACATTGGGAAGTTTGTTAGGGATTTGGTGATATATCTTAGTCATCTAAGCGAGATTTTGGGTACATAATATCTTAATGCAATACAATATCTGGCATATCTGAGGCTTCTTGCGCTTGCTGCATCCTGCGCAGTTTATGAACCTGCTTTCCATATAGCTTGTTCATCAGGAGTGCGCAGGAATCGACCACGATCATTGATATGAGTAGAGTGAAGGGTCAGAGGTTACGAGTCAGAACAACATGTGAGAGATAGGTTATGCAAATACCATGCATGTGCTACGTGACTTGTCGATGTTATCGTGGGAGACTGCCATCAGCATCATCTCACTTTGAAATGCACAAACCAGAAAACAAGGTTCAGACAACGGATGGCCCTCAAAGAGGGTAGGTTCGATTCCAAGGGGATATCGACATGTATTTTGCGTAGAGGGAGTCCCATGATCATCATTGAAGTTTGTGATAGGTGCACTAGGGAGTGGGAGGGGATGAGTCTCACTTTTTAACGAGTTTTGAAGTCTGTCGAGTCAGCATGGTTCTTGCATTGGTTCCCTGGGTCGGTACACGACGCAAACCAAGAGCGGGATGCCGCCATGGCAGTCAAACAACAAACAGAAGATGAGCAGGAGAGTCGGTGGGGACCTCTTCGGCGGAGGGTTCGATGACAGGAAAGCCAAGGGGAATCCGCTTCCTCATGAATGCCAGAAGGGCAGGAAGGACAATTGCCTGCGCTGTGCCATCCAATCAATCTCTCGAGGCAACAGGATCGTATCTGTCACCTTTCCTGTCTGCCACTGCTAGACGGAGAGGTCTGATTTGACTTGAGTGCTCATCTACAGCTTCAAGGTTGATCGCTTAGGTGGCTATCGCCCTCGGTTTGCGTTGTTTAACGACCAGGGAACCTCGCGGAGGGACGAAGACACGCCAGACTTAGTATACCTTACATAGTAGACGCATCTCTACCATTACCAATAGGGT